TAACTTCAGATCACCCACTGTTTACCATCTCATTCGCTTCTGCACAGCCTACCCTCTCTACAAACCCGCTCAAGTTGATACCGCCAAGGACCTCTACTTCGGGGACCTCTTTGCATCATCAACTTGGAGACCTCAAAGCGACTCCGGTTTGCGATCATATTCATTGGACCCCATGCCGAGTTCTCATTTGTCGTTTGGTAATTCGCAGACCACAGACACAGCCTCAGTCGAGTGGTTCCAAGTTGGTCGTTCTTTCATTCTATCTTCATCTACTCAGAAATATTTCACTCAGGCGGCGGAGAAATTGGTTGTGTGTTCGCGAGCTTACAAAGAGGCTAAGGCTGCGATTGATCTCCATCATGAAGCTTTGTGAGATGCTTTCCAAGCGCCACCTGGTTGTTACCTGATAATAACTGTTCAAGCATCCGAACTCTGGCCGCGACCCATGACCGTTCTTTCGAACATATGCTCACATCGCCTACCCTTACGCGACATATCAATGCGTTTGCCCGCGATCTTGAAGTCTTCGGCCCCGCTGGTAATACCGTCGCTTGCCGTCCCTCTCTGGTCACTCATTTGTCTTTGAATAGCATGGGAAACCCTGCAACATCTGGTTCTCGAGGAAATTCGCCTCCGCACGCCCCACCCGAGTCGCAAAACTCCATGTCTCTTTTGTCCGCATCGACCATCCCCTCGCCGTCATACGGCTCATGGTTTTGTTATGCATTTGCAATCAAAGTTGTCCTTCCCCTTACTGTGTCCGGGAGCCATATTGAAAGCATGTTGTTTAGACATCCGGAACAAATAGCCGAGAAGATCGTTCTGAGCGTTCAGCTGTGCTCTCTTTGCCCGCGCGCCACGCGTACCTATTCCCGCGACAATCTGGTCAAGCATCTCAAAAACTCGTGCGTTCTGGGTTTAACTTTACCGAGAAACAAACGGATTCACACCGACGTTTCTAGGCACAGGATACATTAATCCCGGCAAGAACTCTGGAAGCGTCTCTATAGCCAAATCCTTCGCCGTTTCCTCAGTCCTTCATTCAGTAATTCCTGCTATCCTCAAAGATTCTCGGCCGACCATTCTCGATTATGTACCCCGGACTCAAGCAGTCATCTCTCAAATCTCTCGGCCCGTTGATGTTTTTCTCTCGGCGTCCTCCATGCCTGGCTCCTCTACTCGGCTTCAAGAGTCGTCGCATCCAAATCCCAAGACTTTCTTCAACCTCCCAAAACCTCCCAATTGAACCCTCTTTGTACAATGTCGAAGCCCCCACTACACCATGTATCGCCGCATGTACTCAACTTAGTTCTGTATCTATTCTTATCCTCCCTCCGTATATTGGATGATTCTCAAGTCAAAGATCACAAGTCGTGTATGGAATACTAGCAATACTACAGTATATGAGAAGGACACAAATTGTCATCTGGGTTCCAGCTTGAGACTCGTCGCGTCGAAATGCTCAGCCGGAATATCGCCAACCGATTGAAGCGAATCCTCGACGTAATTCTGGATCGATGGAACTACTTCCAAACTGTAGGGAACCTGCCACCGCTCGATCTCGTCAACGACGTCCGCAACACTCTGCCGCTTCTTGAAATTGACGAGTAGCGCAGCTCTATCGCGTTGTACTGGGAACGTATCGAGGGATCCGTCCTTGATAGATTGAAGAGTGGAGATAGTGAATCCTGCCAGAGTCTCAGCAGAGTTCGCCGGCAGAATTGAGCCGCAACTCACCAAGAAAGGGCACACACGGAGGGACAACGGACTTCATCATGAATCGATAGTTCGAAGAGCCCTTGCTGCTAGTCATGAGCATTTCACATGCGCGGAGTTGGCCCGCGAAGATGGGGTTGACTCGCGCCCATGTACGCGTGAGGCGACGAATCGCAGGCGTATTGAGTCCGAATGTGATTGCTGCCATTGCGGATAAATTTTGCAGAGTCCGACAGTGCTATCGGGCGATCAGCGAAGGGCGAGGAGATGGATGACAGGCTCACGTCGGCAATGCTAATGAAGTGGTCTATAATTCGAGCTCGTTGTCGACGGTCGGACTCGGTGAGAACGGTTTCAACAACCCAAAGCCGTATCTGTAACCGGTATCAGTGCAAGAATTCTGGGATGAAACGGCACATACGTTCTTGCTCGTTTGTATGAACGAGACGATGCTATTCGCGGTCTGCGTCTTTTGTGGCCATACTTGCTGGAGACAGTCCGCCGGCTTGATGCACTGGTACAGGCGACTGTCCAGTATTGTCAACTGCTGGGCGAGCTCCAACGGCTGTATGTCGAGAAGCTTGAGCGGCTTGCTCGATTTTGGCAGATAAGGTGAGAGTGCTGGAGGCGAGTTGTTGACGGCGCCACCTCGTCGCTGTGTGGACCCGTGAATTGAAGTACTAAATGAACACAGAACACGCACCGCCTGCTCAATTAAAACCGAAAGCTTCTTGGCCGCAGAGAATTTCGCTACCCCGTTGATGGCAAGAAACTCTTCAATTTGATCCAATTCAACAGTCTCCAGTTCTTCGTGTACGAGAAGATATTTCAAAGTCTCTAATACTCTGCAAGGCGTCAACTAGGAATCCGAATCATGAAGAAAAGAGGAACCTAGTCCGGATGAGCTGCTGCTCCGACTGCACCCATTCGTCCAGCTCGACCGCAGTCAGATTGGGTGGAGGCTGGATCCAAAAACGTTCCACGAGAAGATACAATAGTTCGCTGACGGTTGTAAATGATTTGAAGGTTGTGAGAAACGCGTTCAGGTAGGCGGGATCTGTGGAACGATCATGTCAGACAGTGGCAGCGAAAATAGAAACCAAAATAACCTGAAAAGCCATGCGCCGTGAGGCGCTCGACCAACGCAGGGACGGTCCCCGCACAGACTGTGCCTTCAAGATCAATAACAATCTCGCTGGGGTCGGGTGCTTGTTGTAGACGAATAGGCGGAGAGGCTGGACCAGACGGTAGAGGCTCTGTGATGACGATAATCTCCGGCGCTTCTTCGTCGTCCGAGTCCGAGTCAACTACGAGGTCTAAGGCAAGACGTATGTTGTGTATATTCCAACTTACAGTCCCAGTATGTAGAAGGCTCGCGAGGTCTACGGGCTTGATTTGCATTGCGTCGAGTGTCACCCATCAATCGAGAGTGGCGAAAGCTCATTGGACCGCTGGCAGTGAGTCCCACCGCTCTGAATTTTCCAAGACTCAATGCAGCCTCCATGTCTTCTGTAGGTATATCTTGAGCGTGTTGACCACTTTCAGTATTCACGTAGAATATCTGTGGATCACAAGATCAGCCAGGGAAATACAACTTTGGCGAATAACTCACTCTACCGTCGGACGTTACTTGGGGCATCCAGAAGTCCCCATTCTCGGAAGAAATAATTCGCCGTCTAGAGGCATCTTGCGCGACCACAGCGGTGACATAGGTCGAAGGAAACCAGCCGCTCTTGTCTTGCACTGACCCAACCCACCAACCAGAAGGCGCCCGAGTCAAAATCTCAATAAGGTCATGGCGTCGGAAAGATAGACAAGCAGAATCCTGAGCGTCGTAGTCGTGTAGAGCGCGACAGAATGAGCTGGAGGTAGGCATGTGAAGGCAGAGAACTAGATTCAGGACAATATTAAGCTGTTCTTCTTAAGGTCGCACGGAAAGTGATGCATGGATGGCAGCAGATTCTGATGATGCAGGAGGCATTGTCGAAACACAAGCTCGTTATTAGCAGAGAGGGGGGACGACATTGACGCCGACGCCGACGACGAGAGCAAAAGTGTGGCAACTCGATGGAGTTAAGTTTTCTTCGTTTATTGCCTCGGCCGAATGTCCGAACCGTGTTACTCTCCCTCACACTTATTCTGACGCTGAGCGTCGAAAGTCTACTTTGTCGCTGAATGCAAACTAGGAAATCCGAAACTAATGTCCGAAGGTTCTCCCGATCTCCATCTTTCTCAACGAATTCCCTGGTCTGATCTGAGTCTGCAAATCTTGTTGTCTTTTTGGAACTCCATCGTTTCGAAGGAGCTGCTAGACGCCGATCTTACTGTACTTATCTGTGAACAAAAACTGCGGCGTTCTCTTTGTTATGTTCTCTCAAAACGTACCTAGACCTTCCGCAAAGTCGGTTTCTAGACGGTTTCTCTCGGTATACAAAGCAAGCTCACTGCCAACGGTCTCGGCTCCATCCAACTTGAACAAGACGGCGGTAACAAATCTGCACTAAATTAAACCACGCAAAGGCGCGCGACTGGCGTAAGTTCAACAGCGACGTATCACCCCTAGTTTCCTCGGCATCTTTCATGGCCTTTCAGCTATATCCGCTCGTGTACCATGCATGGCTAGCGCTCGTTCTTTTCGGTGATGCTGCTTCGAATTGTCACTGTGATTGTGTTGCCCACTGCTGCTTCATGCTATCATCAATTCTCTCATGCTCGAAGCTCTGTGTCTGGAGGCAGTATCTTCTAGAAGCTGAGTCTTACCGCTTTCCCCAAGTCGTCAATAATAGCCTTCCTCGACTCCACCCTGATGCTCACACAGCCAACAAAGCTTCTGTTCGCAGCTCATCTAGGTTAGTAAGGGATACATGGATAGTCGTGATGCTCTAAGCAACTACCAATATGCTCAATTCCTGGTCTATATGTCGTCTTGTGAAGCCAGCTGATATCATAGTTTGTGCGTCTGTGTTGTTGTACACAATACATTGAATTCTTGAGTAGAGAACTCGGATGATGCGAAACGTAGGAATGTAGTTACCTCGACTAGATGCCAGACGTGTTGGTCTTGAAGTCTCACAGACGAACTTCTGAAACCCATCCATGAAATCTCGACCAAATGCTTGACAAAAACACGAGATGGGTCTCTTCACGTCCCTGAATGATTAGACTCGTTCTCGACAACCAGATGCAACCGGGGTCTGTAAAATTGAAAATCTGCAAGCTCTCCTTCTTGTCTGTCCTCTTAATAAAAATACTGGGTATTCGGGGTGTAAATGGCTGCAAAAAAAGACCGACGCCGGGAGTTGAACCCGGGACCCCCTGCATATACGGGATCAAATCCCGGGATCGGACAAAACCCAAAGCAGGTATCATGCTACTAGACCACGTCAGCTTCGAAGAGTGGTGCAAAAAGTATATATAAGTAGGCAGTAAAGCCGATCCTCATTTCAGCGGTCAACGAACAACACCTTCAAGTTCAACTGATTCCGAATTTCCGATCTTGTTCTAAACACCATCTTCATCTTCACTCCAGTCGCGTTGACAAAGAAACCATCAACACTGACATATCCCCAAGTCAGACAGCAGCTTGCCAAGTCCTTCAAGACGTAGGGACACGCCTGATCAACCGATACCACGAGGAGTCGGAGGCACAAGGCAAAGCATATCATATTATCTCGCTGGCACATTTTGTCTATCACTGCGCGATCCGACAAGGACGAATTTGGCACGGAATGAAGCATTCAGCCCTTGGAATGGCGTTCGCGGGCACTATTGCGATTTCGACCATCGGCGCAATCTAGCCCATGCTCAATCTCACAACATTTGTCGGGTTAGGCACGGTGGCCTCGCGCTACGGCAGCTTATTCTCGAAGCGTGAAATCTATTATTCAGTGGTCTGCACATCTGGTACCTAGCAGGCGACGATCAACCTGTTACGCTCTGTCTTCTGTCGAGTCCGCTGCAAGCACTGATGGCTCAATTTTGTATTCACTGCTATCTCAAGGTCCTTTGCAGGCGAAACATATGTATCAGCTCCTCATGCACACCTCTCACGGACTGCTTGGCGCACTCTTGGCGCAGTCAGACTGGGATTTCGTGAAGAATCGCCCAGAATCGAGTTTGACGCCGAGCAAGCTTTACTCTATTGCCTCTGCCACGCGTGCCGATGCCGAATCGATTAATATGGTCGAAGTCAAAGCTTCGATCGTCGGGATGAGCACTGTTCAATTTGAGGACATCGTGCGAGTTCCTGGAATGTTCCTGGGACTTCAGTATTCCTTTGCCATCCTCCTTTCTTGTTCGACATCGACTAGCCCGACCCGCTGGACAATTGAGTAAGGCGTCCCGTTTTGTACCGTGCTTTCACTAAAACGCTCTTTAAGATATAATAGAACATCTATCACAATTGCCGCTACGTTTGAGGTCGCAGGGCTTTAACAAAACAAAGCAGGGATTGCACATCTATTCCTACTTTAATAACGCGGAAGTGTTCATATAAAATTCCTGACAATACGTATCTATCTTATTTTGTGTAATCCACGCCGAGGGCTGACTACTTGTCTTCTCCCTCGTTGTCCTCAAGTTGTCCTCATCAGCAAGCAAGTTATGCACACTGCTCGCGAATTACCAGAGCATCCGTCCATACGAATGTTACTTAGTTACCGCGATGCGTTTCCCTTAGTCCATGTTTCCCTGAATGATCATTAATATAGCTCGCATACCTGTACAGTACTTGTTTCTACTATACTTGACATTGTCTACACCCTCCTACTCCCTCATTACAGTACCGATATATGTACTCTACTCGTGTGTCCGTCCAATAAAAAAACGTGATAAGGATGATAAAAAGAGTCCATGCACCGCGTCTGAGGTTTGCCCTATCTCGATGTAGAAGGGGAAGGCGAGACGCGAGTGCTTTTACATATGTACATTCGTACATTCGGGGAGGCGGGTGCCCGCAGCGTTCGACGAATGCGAGTCGGACTGCATTAGTGACGGAATGCGATCACATCTCGCGGGAGATCGGCGGCGGGCAGTGTACTGCGTAGTGGGTCGGGGATGAAAAGTGTGCGTGGGTATCTCAGGTCGTAAATTGTCGTAACAGGCGTTTCATGTCGTCTCCCTCCGCGTGGCAGTCAGCTTAATTAACCAACGACGGTAGCGGAACGTCCGCGCCATCCGCCAACGCTGGCGATATCTGTTCCGGCGCGAATCAGGTCTGCTAGCCGGGAATGCTTGCGGGCAGCGGAGAAGAAGAGCGCGGTGGCGGGCAGCGGACGAGCGCGTGCGGTGCGTTGGTTAGATGAGGGGGAGGTATCACGGCGGCGGGTGGGCAGGGGTGATTGTGTGGGCTTGGCGCACCCGGTCTCCTCGTCATCGCATTCGGCTACTGCGAAGGGGTTCGCGGGCATATCATCGCGACCGAGACATACGCGTTGCAGGACGGGGTTCTGTGCGACTTCTGCGTATGCCGAGGCAGAGGTGGGAAGAGATGGGAGAGGTGTGCGGAGAGTTGTGAGTGATGGTGCGGCAGACAGCGAAGACGTGAGGGGAGCCATGCAAGGGCCGGAGGTGAGGGGGAAGGATAGGGTGGTCGTGTGCTGTACGCGGTCAATAAGCAGTGTGTACTATAGAGAGAATCTGCGGCGTAACTCACAAGGTCTGCGCATGAAGACACTGTCTTAGCCAACGCCTCAAGCATAAGCCGAGGGGCAGGTTGGGAAAGATACGTTCCTGAAGGCTTGCGAATACTCAGCGAGTGGAGCCCAGTTAATTTCCGCACGCCATCGGCTAAGAGCTCGACATCTTCTGCCACAGTCGCGTTATGGGGCAAAGAGACATCGAGCACGGAGAGATTCGACAGCATCGCTAAAACCTGCGCATCGCATGCCGAGGGACTGGGCAGGACAAGCACGCGAGTTGCGTTTGCGAGATACGGTCTGGCTCGCAATGCATTGAAGAGGGATGCAGACTGGGTTGCGGAGTGGATGACCAAAGTGTGATAGAATAGCGGTAGCGCAATACGGTGAAATACAGACGAGACGAGAAGCGGCGCAATACGTCCTCTTGTCTCTTTTCTTCCTGACGAAGTGTGGGGGTGCCAGGGCGCGCGAGGATGGGGAGTACACGGGGCGATGACTGCGAGCGCGAGGATACGCTCAAGCAGCTCTTCGGGGAATTCAGCTAGGGATACAGACATTTTTCTTCGAGTTCGTGTTCGTCGATTCGTTCAGTTGGAGTCGTTGTGCTGGTCGTCAGTGTATAAGTACAGCAGGCACAAGGGTCCAAATAGGCACAAGAAATCAATCGGCGGCGGAGGTACTGCTCGGAGGGCGACGGGGCCACGTAAAAATGTTACAGTAGTCGCTTGCGTTATATCCGAGTTGGACAGCGGCCACAAACGGATAACTAGACCCAGAATATCGGTTGAATGAGGGAAATATATCAGAGTATATAACCCAAGTCAAGCGTCGAGATGGACGTTGAAAGCAAAGAGACCTTACGCTTGATTGCCTTATTCAGAACTTACCCTTAACCTTCATCTCAGTCAACCACTTGCATTCATATTCGCACTTTCTCGGCCGTTTGGGGCCTCTCGTTCGATCCGAGGAACTCGTCTCGTATTCAGACTATCTGACTATCGCTGTCAACAACACCTCCGAGCGCTGTGCAACGGTGGCAGCTCTGAGTCTGATTATCCCGCTTCTCCCGCGCCTTGGGTCTATTACTTCAACTTTGTCTCTCAAAAGGTCGAGAAGGGTTTCTTTCAGTCATTGCATCCATGTGGATCCTTGCCGACGGACCCGTGACTCAACGCGGCGTCTTCAACGAGTCTTCACGCGAGCAGCACGCGTACCGAGAACTCAAATTGACTATATATTATTACTCCCGCTGACGACGGCCCGACTAACAATAAACCACGCCACTGCCTCAAGAAACCGTCTTCACAATCTGACAATCGTGCTTTGTCCACTAATTTGATTGTCATATTTCTAGCCGTGTACAGTACCACTTGAACTTCATGTGATGCTGGGTATCGTCGCTCATCGTTTCACTGTGAACTCTTAGACTGATCCAAATTTCACTTCAAATAGAGTGCATGAATGAGAAGACTGAGTCCGTTGGGAACAATTCTCTCTGAGAACTCGGGTAGAATCTCGGGTAGAATAGATGCGAGAGAAAAACCAGAGAAAACTGAGAGAAAGATGGGAGAGCTCGGGTAGAAAATTGACTCACACGCTGTCGGCGCGTCAGCTCGGAGACGCGACGCGTTTCCTTCTTACCTTTCCCTCACTATGAGTCTCCAGCAACTGCTGGCTGCATAAATCCAGTATCCTTGCTTGTCTGATATCAGTTTTAACAGCTTGACATTCTTACGCATGGCTTGCTTCAAGTTGCTTGGCGCGGCCGCTCATTGAATCGGAGGCGGCCTCCGGACTTGCTTCACTGCGGTCTCCTCGAGCTCCTCGCAGGCACTGTTTCGGAACAAAATCTTCCGTTGGTTCAGACTTGCTGGGCCGCTTTCAAGGAAATTATCTGGAACCACCCAGAAGTGCTACCAACCGAAGAAGAAATTACAAAATACAATGATGCAGCTCTGTGCCGGGTTACCCTGTAAATTAACTTCATTTATGGTCGCACGTACTACTACAAACGCGAACCAGCTGGTTGACCAGACGGTAGACGGATATCTCCGGCAGCGCCTCGTCTCGGCCTTGATGCCGGAAAGGTTCGGGCATGCGCGGGATCAGTTGATTAGCGGATAATTCTACGCGGTTTCTCAGAGAGAATTCTCCCTCCCAGCGGGTTCAGACTTCTGGCATGAATACACGGAGCCCGGCTTGCCCGCGCGCAACATCCAACTGGGAAAGTGCTGTTCTGGCCGAAACGAAACATTGCTGCGATTATGCTGTCGACGCCGCCCTTGCGGAAACGAACGACCGCGTCACCAGCTTCCGTTGTCGTCCCAATGTTTTAGTGCTCCAGAGTCCAACTTCTTTCCACTGAAGGAGTGCCTTGGTTGCTTTCGAATTTTGGTTGAATTCTTTTCCAACCTCATCCCCCATCCCTCATCGCTGCTATGGCCCGCCAGCTAGCAAATTGGGCAGTCGAGTCAGATGAGAATCGGTATCTACTCGAGGCTACTTGAAATCGTAGTATCCACGAGTTGACCAGCTTCTGGAATTGTTCTGGAACTCGCAACATCCAGGCGCTTTGATTGAGCGGTTGGTCTGGGTAGTCAACACTCAGGGCAGGACTCCAAGTACGAGGAGGACGAGGGTGAATGATGAAGATGCGGTCTGATGCGGCTGACGGAGACGACGGTGAAGACGACGACGAATATGGACCTATATGGACCCTGTTAAATGATTATGAAGCAAAATTGCTTCT